AGACACAACACGCCTCCGGAGCCAGGGACGGGACCAACCATGCAGCAGTTGAGCTTTTCCTCTCAAGCTGGAGCACCCATCCTGCCACGTGCGCAGTGACAGCACCCTGAATGGGAGCCAAACGAGGGAAGGGGAGCCACTCTCTCTGACTGTTAGCAGCCCCTGCCTGTCTGCTCTGGAACATGCCACCAGTATGCAAGGTTGGGAACCCCTGTGCTGTGCGGGGCCAGGGGAAGCCGATGGACACAGGGAGAATACGCCCTCTCTACACACTGATGCATGGTGTCGAGACGGGAACGTGCACATGGCCCACAGTGCAGCAGGGTTCTGGCACGTGGACACCGTGGGGATGGCAGGGGAACATTCTGCAAAAGTAAAGCTCTCAAGGTCTCCCAGGGACCTGCTCAAGAAGCATCAAGGGACAAGGCCATTGAAGGAGGTAACTAAACGGTTTGTTTCTGGGACTGCTGTCCCGTAGTTAGAGAAGGTGACTACAAGTGTGGGCTCATCATTCTGTTCCCAGCTTGATATGCAACCTTGGGCAACTAATTAAAACTTCCCAACATTGCACTAGGCTGCTAGATCTGGGAGAGAAGAACACTTTACAAGCGCCAGTCTACAGGGGGAAGGATCATTTATGTTAGTGTCAGACTGCAATATATGTTCATGTGTATTCCCTTTAAAACTCTACGTGAGAGAGCATGCATGGACATGTCAACCACAGATACACCCAGACGTGGCTACCAAGCACAGCACCAGTTACATGGCCTATCACAAAATATTTTAATGCTTGTCCAAACACCAGCACACTTATCTGGAGCAACTATATCGGTGTTTGCCAAACCACACAATGCACTTCATCCTGCATGGCACAGCTGCTCTTACCATAGGACGCGAGAGCCGTCCTCTGTGCACAGCATGAGAGGCCGGAAAGTCACCCACAGCACTCCACCCAAGTGTCTTAGCTGGGCACTGGGGAGGAACCTTTCCCCCAGTGCCGCAGAGTGTTAACAGCCACGCCCCAGAGGAGCCTCGAGACCCCAAATGCTCCTCCCGCAAGAGCAGAGGATGTGGGCAGGACCTCTCCTTGTCCCTACCCCCTACTGCCCAGGGAGCACTCACAGGGGATACACCCCACCCCCTGCACAGCCTCCCAAACCCTACTTCCCCAGAGCCATTGACAACACTCAGGTGCCGTTTTAGCGCCAGACTCTTCAGGGCTCCTGTTCCAAACGCCATCAGCCAGGCACAAGGCTTAGCATGGAATACCAGGAGTAAAGTGGCAGATTCTTGAAATTACAATGTACAGCCGAGATCAGTAGCAACGTAGCGATTGTGAGAAATGATTGTTTTCATTTCTTGCAAAGAGAGTGAAGCCCACCTGAGCTGGGAAACAGCACACCCTTCCCTTGGGATCAGCCTCCAGCAATGCCATCATGAGCCCCACTGTGCCCCCATTCTAGCTACAGGTGTGGGGGTGGCCTAGTCCTGCGTTATAAAACCACTCGCACATTGGCACTAGCTGGCCCCCGTGAGGCAGAGTCAACAGAAGCCAAGGAGACCGAACCCCCAAGTCCCATCACAACATGCTTGAGGCGTGCTGATGGAGAGCACAGTAGCCTGTTCCTCGGAGAGAAAATGTCAGTCAGCAGGGCTAATAATTCAGTACCTTTCCCCAGCTCTAATGGGGGGGGGGGGGGGGAAGGGGGGAGGTCCTTGCAAATCTGTTCAAGGGGAGACCTGGAAGTACTCCCCTCCCCAGAGGCCCCTGCTAGAGAGACCTGCAGCCCCATGGACCCTCTCAGTACATGGAGGAACAGAAGCTGGGACAGCAGAGACTCCCTTCCACAGCCACAATCTGCCCCCTCCTCTTGCAGCAGTGACCCACCTGGGGCGTGACGGCTCCCAGCAAAGCCAGCTGTGCGGGAGAGGAGTGTTTAAGCACAGACTCTTTATGATAGAACCATAAAATGATTCAGCAGGCTCTGAAAATCCCACCTGAATCTATTTTAAGAGACAGTCCTGGGTTAGGAGCTCAGCAAACAGTGTTCCATTTTCAGCTCCTGCCCCTCTTCCCCACCCGAAGCCGAGTGGAAGACAGGGCAGTTACTCCAGCTGCCCCCGCGCAGAGACCTCCATGCCTACGCTATAAGAAGTTGCAGAAGTGTCCCTAGCCTCGGACTAGCAAGGGCCCCAACTCCACAGCCAGGCACGCTGGTGAGAGGTACTCCTGCCACTCAGCAGCACCCAGGGCACTCCGCCACCCACAGGGCTGGCTCACGTGGGGGCCTCTCGCAAACACAGAAACCAGGCCCCTGAGCTTCAGACCAGGGCTGGCTCCCGTGCTTGCCTGTCTGGGTGCCGAGCTAAGGAACATGCAGCACAAAGCCACCAGCTTAAGCTGTCCCACAGTCTGTCCACTGGGGCAGAGGCCCATTGTCGCCCTGCTGGAGCGGTCCTCCGCCTCTGACAACGCTAAGTGGCTGAAGGACCAGGGCGCTGCTGAATTCGGAGACCTAGCTGGCCCTGCATTTTCAGGTTCAAGCACCAGGTCGTCAGTCTATATCAGTCAGTGCCCACTTCTCGAGAAGGCGCTGTCCTGCATAGTCCTCAGACGGCCCACCCAGCGACACAGACCCACAGCGACGTGGCCCGCGGCCTGAGCCGGGCGCTGGCAGTAAAAAGCCACTGGTGGGGGCTGCACCCTGGGGAGGGGCGGCAGAGAATGGCTATGGAGCTCAGACATGCAATCCAAGGGGTCTCAGACATCCCGCCCCGTCCCCAACTGCACAAAGCAGGGGCTCAGCCCAGGCACAGAACCCAGCAGATGAAGAGCAAATACTGCGACCACCCCCCTGCCCAGGCAGATCTCAAAGCGAAGGGCCAGGCCCCAGCTGCTGAGACCTTAGAGAACAAGGGGTCACTGGAGCCTGAGCAGAGAAATAGCCCCGACTCCCAGATAGGGAGTGGTGATGGGGCAGGAGCCCTGGACAAGCACTGCACCCCTGGGCCACAGACAGACCACTGTGGGATGGACATACCTCCCCCTTGGAGGGGCTGGGACCTCACCACGGCAGGGAAAATGGAGGGCCGGGGCCCCTCTCCAAGGGCAGGCCGGGACCCCACGGGGGGAGACAAGACCAGGGGGCCGGGCCCCCCCCCGGGGGGGGGGGGGAAGATCAGAAGCGGGGCCGGGGCCCCCCCCGGGGGGGAGGTCAGAAGCGGGGCCGGGGCCCCCCCCGGGGGGGAGGTCAGAAGCGGGGCCGGGGCCCCCGGGGGGGGGGGGCAGCAGAAGCGGGGCCGGCCCCCAGGGGGGGGGGGGAGATCAGAAGCGGGGCCGGGGCCCCCCCCGGGGGGGAGGGGGGGAGATCAGAAGCGGGGCCGGTCCCGCAGGGGGAGGGGAGATCAGAAGCGGGGCCGGGCCCCCCCCCGGGGGGGAGGGGGCAGCTCAGAAGCGGGGCCGGGGCCCCCCCGGGGGGGAGGGGGGCAGCTCAGAAGCGGGGGCGGGGCCCCCCCCCCCGGGAGGGGGGGGGCAGCTCAGAAGCGGGGCCGGGGCCCCCCGGGGGGAGGGGGCAGCTCAGAAGCGGGGGCCGGGGCCCCCGGGGGGGAGGGGGCAGATCAGAAGCGGGGCCGGGCCCCCCCCCGGGGGGGGGCAGATCAGAAGCGGGGCCGGGGGCCCCCCGGGGGGAGGGGGCAGATCAGAAGCGGGGCCGGGGCCCCCCCCCGGGGGGGAGGGGGGCGGATCAGAAGCGGGGCCGGGGCCCCCCCGGGGGAGGGGGAGGCTCAGAAGCGGGGCCGGGGCCCCCCGGGGGGGAGGGGGGGGAGATCAGAAGCGGGGCCGGGGCCCCCCCGGGGGGAGGGGGCAGATCAGAAGCGGGGCCGGGGCCCCCCGGGGGGGGGGGCAGATCAGCGGGGCGGGGCCCCGGGGGGGGGGGGCAGATCAGAAGGGGGCTGGGGCCCCCCCGGGGGGGGGGGGCAGATCAGAAGCGGGGCCGGGCCCCCCGGGGGGGGGGGGGCAGATCAGAAGCGGGGCCGGGGCCCCCGGGGGGGGGAAGGGGGAAGATCAGAAGCGGGGCCGGGCCCCCCCGGGGGGAGGGGGGCGGCTCAGAAGCGGGTCCGGGGCCCCCCCGGGGGGGAGGGGGGCAGATCAGAAGCGGGGCCGGGCCCCCCCGGGGGGGAGGGGGCAGATCAGAAGCGGGGCCGGGGCCCCCCCGGGGGGGGGGAGGAAGATCAGAAGCGGGGCCGGGCCCCCCCGGGGGGGAGGGGGCAGATCAGGAAGCGGGGCCCCCCCGGGGGAGGGGGGGGGCCGGGGCCCCCCCGGGGGGGGGAGATCAGAAGCGGGGCCGGGGCCCCCCCCGGGGGGGAGGGGGCGGCTCAGAAGCGGGGCCGGGGCCCCCGGGGGGGGGGGGGCAGCTCAGAAGCGGGGCCGGGGCCCCCCCCGGGGGGGAGGGGGCAGATCAGAAGCGGGGCCGGGGCCCCCCCGGGGGGAGGGGGGCGGCTCAGAAGCGGGGCCGGGGCCCCCCCGGGGGGAGGGGGGCGGCTCAGAAGCGGGGCCGGGGCCCCCCCGGGGGGAGGGGGGCAGATCAGAAGCGGGGCCGGGGCCCCCCGGGGGGGGGGAGGGGGCAGATCAGAAGCGGGGCCGGGGCCCCCCCGGGGGGGGGGAGGGGGCAGATCAGAAGGGGGCGGGGCCGGGCCCCCCCCCGGGGGGGGGGGGCAGATCAGAAGCGGGGCCGGGGCCCCCCCCCGGGGGGGGAGGGGGGCAGATCAGAAGCGGGGCCGGGGCCCCCCCCCCGGGGAGGGGGGAGGGGGCAGATCAGAAGCGGGGGCGGGGGCGCCCCCCCGGGGGGGGGGCGGCTCAGAAGCGGGGCCGGGGCCCCCCCCGGGGGGGAGGGGGGCAGATCAGAAGCGGGGCCGGGGCCCCCCCGGGGGCGGCTCAGAAGCGGGGCCGGGCCCCACGGCGCGACACGGGGCCTCTCCCCCGGGGCCGGGCCCGCACTCACCGCCCGTGACTTTCTGCAGCCCCAGCACGTCCTCGGGGCCGATGAGCGGCTTCCGCAGCAGCTCGTCCTCGGGGCCCGCGGCCGCCGCCCCGCCGCCCTTCTTCACCCTCATGGCCGCGGCCGCGCCGCCCCGCCGGCCGGAGCGAGTGTGGGCGCGGAGAGCGGCCCGGCTCATCCCTCGCCCGCGGCCCGCCGCCGCCTCTGCCGGCAGGGCCCGGCCGCCTGGCTCCGCCCGCGCGGGGAGGGGCCGCCCCGCCCCGGGAGCCCCGGGAGCCCCGGCCTGGCCCTGGGCTGCGCGCACAGAGCCGGGACGGCCCCGCGGGGCGAGGAACACCCCCGCCCACCCCGCGAGTTCGGGCTGCAGGGGGCGAGGCCCTGCAGGGCACAAACATCCCGACGGGGCAGGATCAACGGGCTTTCTCCGGCTCGCAGCCAGCGCCGAGCACGGCGACAGCGGCAGCACCTTGCCCTGCAGGCCCAGATGTCCAGAGGGCTGAGTCAGGTGCGGAAACAAGACAGAAAGAACGGGAGGCCTTGTGGCACCTTCCAGGCGAACCAACGTATCTGAGCATAAGCCTTCCTGAGCTACAGCTCACTTCATGGGATGCATGCAGTGGAAAATACAGGGGGGAGATTTATATACACAGAGAACATGAAGCAATGCGTGTGACCATACACACTGTAAGGCGAGTGATCAGGTCAGATGAGCTATTACCAGCAGGAGAGAAAAAACACCTTTTGTAGTAAGAAGAAAAAGGAGGACTTGTGGCACCTTGGAGACTAACCAATTTATCTGAGCATGAGCTTTTGTGAGCTACAGCTCACTTCATCGGATGCATACAAATAAACTGGTTAGTCTCTAAGGTGCCACAAGTCCTCCTTTTCTTTTTGCGAATACAGACTAACACGGCTGCTACTCTGAAACCTTTTGTAGTGATAATCAAGGTGGGCCATTTCCAGCAGTTGACAAGAAGGTCTGAGGAACAGTGGTGGTGGGGAGGGGAATAAACATGGGGAAATAGTTTTACTTTGTGAAATGACCCATCCACTCCCAGTCTCTGTTCAAGCCTCAGTTAATTGTATCCAGTTTGCAAATTAATTCCAATTCAGCAGTCTCTCTTTGGAGTCTGTTTTTGAAGTTTTTTTTTGTTGAAGAATTGCCACTTTTAGGTGGCCAGAGAGATTGAAGTGTTCTCCAACTGGTCTTTGAATGTTATAATTCTTGATGTCTGATTTGTGTCCATTTATTCTTTTACGTAGAGACTGTCCAGTTTGACCAATGTACATGGCAGAGGGGCATTGCTGGCACATGATGGCATAGATCACTTTGGTAGATGTGCAGGTGAATGAGTCTCTGATAGTGTGGCTGATGTGATTAGGCCCTATGATGGGGTCCCCTGAATAGATATGTGGACACAGTTGGCAAGGGGCTTTGTTGCAAGGATAGGTTCCTGGGTTAGTGGTTCTGTTGTGTGGTATGTGGTTGCTAGTGAGTATTTGCTTCAGGTTGGGGGGCTGTCTGTAAGCAAGCACTGGCCAATCTCCCAAGATCTGTGAGAGTGATGGGTCATCCTTCAGGACAGGTTGTAGACAAAGGCTACAAAGTGCCTGAGACCTCCCCACTCCCACAGATTTTATTTTAAGCAGTGGGGAGTTGATGGAATTTTTAATATAGAAACTTTTCTTGTGCTTCTAGTTCTCAAAAATAGCTTTGTTTAGGCCCCCAAGGATGCTAGCCCACCTCCTTATTTGAAATTGGATATATCAAACCGAAAGCAGAAATAGGCATTCCCTAAAATGTAATAGGAATAAGTAAGGTGGATACATCATGACACTCCCGACTAGCAGAAGGTGCACGTTGTAAAGAAGCAGATAGAGGTAGTTGCAGGTTAGCTATTTCACGGTACCCACACAAACACGCTGCCTCCCTTAGCCGTTCAGCTAGCCCCAGCACCGGACCGGGCCTGGAGTTAGAGACTGCAGATGCAGGGACTGCACAGGCCACACAGCATCATGCTGCCCTTCAAAAAGCACTTGCTGGTGGTCTGCCATGAAGTGAGGGGTACATGGCCTTGGCTCCTCCTTTTCAACAGCTAAATGGTACTAAGTATTTTAACAGACTTCTCGCTGCTGGGTCAGCTCATGCGGGAGGAGTCAGCTCCGTTCTAGACTAACACCCAACACTTCAGACTAATGGAAATACACCAAATCGCACGCTGATCCAATTCACCCTCCCCTCTCCCAGCCTTCCCCATTATCGAAAACAGAGGTGGGGTTGGCTTTTGGCAACAGGGCTTCTCGTGATGTCTGAGCCTGGAACATCGCGGACATATGGAAACTCACTCTGCCTGGGACACTCAGGCCCCGTCCAGAGGGAACAGTAAGAGGTGCAGCAGGGCAAGGTGTTTGCAAAACTCGGTGAGGGGACCAGGTGGGGGGTAGTGGCATAGCAGGGGGGGATCTGGGAGGAGCTGCTGCCTGTGGCTGAAGGCCCGGTGCCCCTCATTACACCTTACTACTCGAGAGCAGCAGTCAGGGTACATCATTAACTTGCCCACATTGCAGCACGGCCGCAGCCCCACGGGGATGGGGCAGCGTGGGGAGAGCTCTCCCAGCAATAAAAAATAACCACCCCGCCCGAGGCTCCTGGCGCTACGGCACTGTCAGCAGCGGGGCTCTTCAGCGCTGACACTTTTGTCGCTGGGGGGGGGGGGTTCACACCCCTGAACGACTGAAGTTTTCGCGCTGAAAGTGGCAGTGTGGACCCCGCCTTCGGTAAGCACCATCCCAGACAGCGCTGACCCAACAGCAATGGCTTGAGACACCCTGCCTGCCACAGCTGCCACTTTCCGGTGAACGTGCTGGCGAAGGGGAGCAGACCAGGGTGGCTGTTACGCTCAGACAGTACGAGGGGATCTATTTGCTGACATGTCAAGAGGATTTCACGCTCAAAACCAAACAAAACAAGACTCTCTAGTCTAGCGCACTGCCTGGTGCCTCGGAAGTGCCTGCTTTGATTGCCCATTTAAAGGAAGCTTAGTTAAGGTGAAGAGCCGGCAGCCTGGGGCATGGAGAGAGGAAAGGCAAGGAAGGGGCTTCAGGACAAGGAGAGTGACAGCTCAGACTGTTAGTGCAGAGAGAATATAACCAAGGCAGGCAGCAAGCTAAGGCTCACACATGACACTTGAAAACCTACCCGAGACCGTAGCAAGAGGGCAAAGGGTTACGTTAGAAGTACTGAAGGGGGCTGTTACAGATGATGGGGCTCCCAGCAGAGGAGGGGGAAGCTAAGCCGCAGTGACGTATTTAAGCAGAAATGGAACACTGATGTGAGAATTTTATCAATGGCCAGGGAGCTCATGGTCACACTTTGGAGGACCGGGGCACTCTTTGGGAGTCAAGAGGGAATTTAGTGCTGAGCATGTTCCACCCCGGATTGGCTATGGTGGGGAGTTTGCCATTGCCTAGTAGAATGCGGAGAACTGCACAGTCAGACCCCTACTGCCCCACAGGGCTCCGAGGCCTACTGAGCATGGTACCTGGTGCTCTCTGGTAGGTCAGTGGACTGTCCTTTCACCCGGGTTTTCTTGCCCACAGACAAGGCCTATCCTGTTGCAAGGTCCCCGGAACCACTGGTTGCAGCTCCTGAGATACAAGCAAGTAGTGCAGAAACCTCTCAGGCCCTGCTCTCATCTCCAGGGAAGCACTTCCCCACAGCCAGCTCAACGCCCAGCAAATGCTTTCCCTCCCGCTCCACTTAGCTGGCACAGAATTGGACAGCTTCCAGCGGCACCTAGCTCCCTGCAGCACTCCTCTCCCACAGCACAGAGCAGCCAGCTCCTTCTCTTTGAGAAGGACAGGGACAGATGCTGGGCAGGAGAGAGACTGGAGCGAGGCAGCTGGCCAGTGTGAGCAGCACAACACTCTCCACACTGTCGGAGAACCTGATTTCCCAGAACCTAGCCCATCTGACAGGAAACCTTCCCAGGCCGATGCACACACAGGAGCCATCCCGTGGGCCACCCTGAGAAGCTCCTAAGGGGCAGGATCTCCCCCAGGCCAAGCCGGCCAGGGTGGCACAGGCTGCTTGAATTCCCAGGAAAGGCACACTGCCCCTCAGCAGAGTCTGGCTTTTACTTTTATTAAAAGGAAACCTTGTTTTGTTCAGCATTCATCAGTGCATCACTCTCACGTCTGGTCCCCACCCAGCCCTCTTGCAACACAAGGCCCCAGGCTCCCTCCACAGAGACCCACAGGCTGCCAGCAGTGGTAGGAAGCTAAGAAACCCAAGAGCCACTTTCTGTACCTCCCTGAAGTACGAGCAGCACTCACTTGCTGCAGACGCTGCAAGGAAGCCCTGCCCCAGTGCACAGGCTGGCCTGTATATCCCCCTACGTTGAGGAAGTTGGTAGGGTCACACTTGTGGATCAATAGCTCACTAGGGGAGGGACCTGGGTCCAGGCATGTAAGGGGGGCCCTGCCAATACCAAGGCTCCCAACAGGAGTAAAAGGAAGGTGCCCCACCAGTCTCACTCCTGCTAAACTAGGCAGTCCCAGGGGCACATCCTGTAGTGGCTGGGCAGGAAGGGTGCACTTCAGACTGCTTAAGCACTCAGAGGGGACAGAGAGACTCCAGAGCATCTCCTAGAAGCTAACGCCAATCCTTTCAACTCAAAGGAGAGCCCCTTAATCCAGGCACCTTGGGGGGGCGGTGAGTGAGCTGAGCGGGGAGAAGGGAAATGCAAGCTTGATTCATGCCTCCTCTGCTGTCTGGTGGTGGAGCTGGCTGCAGTAACTAGAAAAAGCAGAAGTGGCCTGAGCTCATCCACCGTGGACCCAGCTGGCAGGGGCATTTTGCTCAGGTGGCCAGTCACATGCAGCTGTAGCCGCTCTACACTCCTTGGGGGAGGTCTACACTGCAGTTAAAAACCCACAGCTGGCCCATAGCAGCTGACAGACTTGTGGAGCTCTTGCTAAGGGGCTATTTAATTGAGGTGGAGACATTCAGGCTTGGGCTGGAGCCCACACTCTAGTCCCCTCCCATCTTGCAGGGTCCTGGAGCCCAGGCTCCAGCAGAAGCCCAAAGAGCTACACTGCAATGAAACAGCCCCTTAACCTGCGTTGGCTGGCGCGGGCCAGCCACAGGTGTCTAAACGCAGCACAGATGTCCCCTTTAGAGTCCCCGCTAACCCCTAGGTAAAGGCGAACCCAAGAGCTCCATGCTGGGAAGTAGCCGTGGTGGTTCTAAGTCTTGATTTCTGACCCAACACCCTATTTTTGCCAGACTTTCCACTCTTCCAGGATTCATAAAGAATCATCCGAGTCCAAGCCCTTTAACTGGGCCCTGACTGTTCCTACAGACAGGCTGTCACGAGCTGGCTCTGAGCTCCCCTGCCCCATGGGGCAGCTGCAGACAGGCTCAGTCAGTTTTCGTGGGCTCCTTCTTGCTCTGTTTGGCTTCCCGGAGGATCTTCACCAGGGACAGCAGGATGGGCACCGCCATAGGCAGGAAGAGTGGGATGTAGATGGCAAATTTCTGGTCATCAGGGAAGTAGAGGAGATGTAGCAGCGAAGGGTCAAAGAAGGCCCGCTCCGAGGAGGTGACCGCCTCTTTACTGGCCTGGAATGCTGAGCCCAGACGGCCAGAGGCCAGCTCCAGCATAGCAGTCTGTGCTGATGCTACTGCATGGTAAACCTGGATGGGACCACACAAAGAGTCAGTGCACAGCAGCCCCCTGTCTGGCCCAGGCAGGTCAAGGGAGCTCCAGGCACCACACCTGAGGCCTAGGAGTGCCAGAAGCTGAGCAGATCCTGGATTGTCAAGTCTGGATCTGCTCTAAGAAGTGACACTGACCTCTGCATATTCCTTTTCGGCACCCCACAGCCAGGGGGGCTCTGAGCGTCAAGCCACCTACTCCTCCTCCACCTGTTCAACCCCACTGCTTTCTACGCTCTCAGCTACAGCTGTGCAGTCCCATTCTCTTCAGTGGCTCGCACACTGAGTAACCGGGGCAAGACGTGGGCCTGCACCAGGAACTTAGCAACTGCTCCATTGACGCTGCAGGGGAAGGAAGGGCTGGAACCCACTCGCTGCCCCAGAGCTGCGTTGGCTCCAGGGTTACGACATACCCCCAGGGAGCAGATCTGCCATTTGTACACTCACTTTTCAGCGCAGACTTTCACTCAAAGGCATCAAGGGGTCTCAGCCCAGAGAGAGGGGGGATGGGAGGATTTAGAAGGTCTCTCCCCAGTGAGGCTGTGGCCATTTCTATTAATTATAGGCCCAGGGCATAAGGGGGCAGTGATGCTGCAAAGGCAGAATTCTCAGCCCGGGAGGGGGCGCCCTCGTGTCCTCTAGCTGACTCAAGCAGCCAGGCCCTGGCCAGCCCTCTAGGTTAAGGGCAACAATTTTCAGAACCCATCCCCCTCCCCAAGAGGGGAAATAAATACATAAGTCTGGGCAGACAAGGTCCCCAGCAGCAGCATGTAAGGCCCCTATGTGATGCTGGCAGCCCCCAACCTCTCATGGGGACCCTCCCAACCCCCACTCACCTCAGAGGCAACATCATCCTTGATGACGATGTTCCCGATCTTGTCTAGCAGTTGGGCCAGGGAGGTGAGGGTGGTGGACACCGTGGCGATATTCTCAACTGTCCGGGTCCACAGCAGGCGGTCCAGCTCCCAGTCAGTCAGCCCGTCGTTCCCAGGGCTCTCCAGCAGGAACTCCTCTGGGAGCGACACCTGGGAGATCCCAAACAACAACCTGTGGGGGAGAAGGGGCAGATCAGGTCTGAGCTGGCAGGGAGGTCACCAGGCCAACTCTTCCCTGTGCTCACACCCCCTGCAGCAGAGGAATGGAATGGGCACGTGGCAGAAATGTTCTCGTTTGCCTTTCCTGACGCAAGTTCAGCCCTGGCACAAGGTGCAGGTCTGAGTCCTGCTGCCCAGCGGGGTAGGTGCGAGTCAGGCTTTCCAAACACATTACTGCCGAGCTAGGGCAGAAAGAGGACGGTCCATGACACCGTGGCTGAAAAGGGGCAAGTTAGTGGGATTGTGGGCTTTGTGGTCACCGGGCCTTGGTCCAACACCCACCAACACTACTGAACAGCCGTCAGACAGGACAACTCCAGCTGCCACCACCACCCTAGGCCAGACTGACCCAGCAGCTAAGGGGAAACTGGAGCCACACGCCACTGCCGACCCCCCAAGCCAGCCAGTGACCCAGAGAGTCTAGGAAAAGCACAGAACCAGCCTCAGGCTGCCAGAGCAGGGGGAGCCAGAGAGGCAGCGTCTCTGCCCTGGCACACACCTCCCAGGGCAGGCACAGCCCCAGGGGCCACAGCCTCACGCTGCTCTGGTGGAACCGAACATAAGGAATGCAGAGAATGGAACGGCTGGGGCGGGGCAGGGCAGAGAAGAGAGCAGTGTCCTCACCGTAGCTGGGCCAGGAACACCTCCATCACTCGCACCATGTCCACGTCCACCCAAAGCGGGAGAAGGGCCTTGTCAGGAACTGGGTGGTCAATGTTGTACACCTGTCAAGAGAGTGTGTCCAGGGCAGGCCTGACACAGGCTATGCCTCACCACACAAGGGTCCCCCAGTCCCTGTTCTCCAGTCAGCCCACAGCTCTGGGCTACCCTGCAGTGCTGAGCAGCGCTGTCTCATTCAGGGAACGGCCATGGGGCTCAGGCCCAGGCCCCATCCAGCCCAGCCTTCCATCTCTGAGAGTGGCCAAGACCAGCTGCATCACAGGAAGGGGCAAGAAACTGGCACCAAGTAGAAAAAGCCCATAGGGTGCAGTGGGCATTGTTGGGGCTCTGGCAGGATGCTGCGGGGGCTGGAGGAGCTGGACCAGGAGCTCCCAAACACAGCACAGGGCTCCAGCTGGTCAGCCCCTGCCAGTCACAGTCCCAGCACGAGGGCAGGGGACCAAAGGGACTGCGGTGCTTTCCTCATACAGGGCAGGGCTGTGCCAGGCCAGGCCCCTCCTCCTTACCATGATCCCACCCCAGCGAGGGCTGTGGAAGGCGTTGGTCCCCACAGCGGCGCCGTCCTTGTCCTGGATGTAGAGAGGGGAATGGACGCGCTCTGGCACGTACAGCAGGAAGTTCAACACGGGGTAGAGCGAAGTGGCGCTGGAACCTGCAGCAGTGCACAGTGAGCACCACACATTTCCGGGCAGACCCTGGCCTGCCAGACACTGACGGCAACAGGGAGGCCGGGAAGCTGCCTGCAGGAGCTCAGCACCTGGAATGTTACTGGGGCAGGGCGGGACCGGACCCTCTCCTCCCCTTGCCAGGGAGGCCAGACTCCACCTGCTCCTGAGAAGGGGTCAGTGGCCTGGGGGCTACATCGGTGCTTTCAATATGAGCCGTATGTTGAGATCCCACCCGGGTCAAACAGCACGAATTTTGCTGGATCTCAGCCTACACCTCTCATGGGGATCTGCCCTTCTAACTAGTCAGCAGTATGGCAGCCTCCCCGGAGGGCAGTGCAGGGCTGGTAGCGAGGGCTCTGGGGGGGCAGAGCCTGTGCTGTGTCTGCCAGCACAGGTCTCTGCCTTTACCCTCAGCAACACTAAACTCTCAAAGCAGCCACCACAAGGACGCAGGGTGGCACTTACCCAGCCTGGCTTCCACCGGGTTAATGACGTGGGGGAGACTGAGCGCGCTCAGGATGAAGCTGGAGGAGGCCTTGTCAAAGCGGGGCGTGACCCCCAGGACAGCATAGTACAGGATCTGAGGGGATCACCAAGGAGATGGATGTTGTGGGAAGACCACCCTGTGGCCAGCCTGGGTGGGGGCACCCTCCCCCCTCCTACCGCACCTCTCACCTGGGAGTCCACAGAGAAGTTGGCCACTGAGCCCAGCTTGTCGAGGAAGGGCTGTACGTAGCTGCTGACAGCGGCCTCGATGTCCCAGTGCACGTTGTGGGACTTGGGGTCTGGGTTCAATAAGCTGAAGGTGATTTCGTACCCTGGGAAGAGCAGAGAACAGAGGCTGCCAACAACATCCCTCTGCAAGGAGAAGCTGCCAACTGCCCAGGATCAGTCTGGCCATCCACAGGGCAGGAGTGCATGAGCAATGATTCCAGAGCAGAGCAGATGCCAAGTGGGACAGAGAGAGAACAGAGCAACGTTCCAAGGAATAACTGTGGGACCCAGTCTCATGCTCCTGAGCTAAGGGGCTCCCGGGCAGTGGCACAAAGCACCAGCAGATGGGTTGATGGGGTGCACAGAGGACCCCAGAGAGTTGGTTACTAAAAGGGAGGGGGTGCCTGGGAATCTGAGGGTGGGGGAGAGGTATGTGGCCCTGTGCTGCCCCAGCCCTGCCCAAGGAAGACAACGTGCTGCAGAGAACCATGGGAACAGCCTCTCCTGGCAGGCACCCAGCCCGTCCTACCCAGGCTGGATTTGAACGGGCGCCTCGTGTCGGTGCCGAGCTGGTCCATGGGAACGCGATCAGACAAGGCGGTGGCGATGGAGTCAGTGGTGAAGGACATGGCCTGCACAATCTGCTGCACCCAGGCACTAACAGCAGCCAGGACATCCCCGGGGCCCTGCGTACACCTCATCACGGCACTGCGGTGCTTCCCGATGTACACGCCAACACCCTGCAGAGAAGGCAGGGCAGTGAGCCAGGAATCTGGGGAGGGGCAGGGTGTGCACACCTCCCCTGCTCCTGGGCACAGAGCAAACAGAGCTCAGCGCTCCCAGGGCAACATGCTCAGCCCCTGGCAGGGGTTGCCCCAGACTGACCTAGGGAGGTGGTAGAATCTCCTTCCTTAGAAGTTTTTAAGGTCAGGCTTGACAAAGCCCTGGTTGGGATGATTTAATTGGGGATCGGTCCTGCTTTGAGCAGGGGGTTGGACTAGATGACCTCCTGAGGTCCCTTCCAGCCCTGATATTCTATGATTCTATGACCCCTTCTTGTGCCTGGACCCAGGATAACAGGGCTGGGGAAGCTCCATGGACAGCAGCCTCAGACAAAGAGGGTCTTGGATTGTTCTGCAGCCACCCCACTGAAAGGCAGGGGAGAGCTCACAAAATACACAGGAGAGCCATGCCCCTTCCTGCCTATGGGGCAAGCAACATGGGAAGCGTCTCTGTTTCTGCAGAAGGGTGTCCCTTCCAGCAGTGCCCCCTCCCACTCAGATCATCCACCTGCCAAGGCCCAGCCACATGACTCTGCCCTTTGTGCTGTGCCTGGAGAAAAGAGCGCGACAGGGGAATAGGGCATCTTTCTGGGCAGGTCTCTGTCCAGCACAGTCTCTCTGGGGGGCATCTGCCTGCTTTCTTACTCCAGGGACACAGCTCTTTCATGGGAAGCAGCAGGCAGCCGCAGGACACTCCAAGCCACACTACTGGTCCCAGAGCAAGGAGGTGGGGCACTCCCAGCAGAGGATGCGGTACCTGAGGCAGTAGAGGGGAGGTTTCCGGGATCACGTACACAGTCAGAGCGCCCAGCGAGTCCTGCAGCGGGAGCAGTGCAGCGTCTGCCTCTGAGGAAGAGAAGGGAGAGAAGGCATGAGCCAGGCGGCATCCCATGGGGGGATGGAGCAGGCATTACCAGCTGCCCAAAGGAAGTATTCCCGAGAGGGGAAACCCTCATCTCTCTCCCAGCCCATCTCCAGCCGGGATCACCGGGCTCCCTCGCAGCCACCACTACAACACAAGTCCGTGTCCACAGTCACCCCTAGGTCCCTGCCCACCCCGCCAGCTCCTGGAACTCCCCCCTGCCCTGGAGCAGCCCATTCCTGTGCTCCAAGAGCTCCATGTGGTAGTCAGCAGCAGCAACCCAAACAGCTCCCCGGATGACACGGAATGCAGGCCCTTTGCTCCCCACAGCCAGTGGTGTTTCTGGGCAGGTACACAGCAACAACTTCACTGGCTGCCAAACTAGCACCCACCACCTGCATCCCATTCAGGCCTGGAGACCGCAGAGTGGCACCCGCAGGGCACGGCCAGCTGCAAGCATCCCAGGAGAGCCAGGACTCCCTGCTCTTTGCCAACTCTACCCCAGGGCAGCAACCTAGTGTGTCCTACAGACTCTGTACCTTTCACTGTGGCCAAGGCCAAGGCTGCCTGCTCTGTGACGGTTGCACTCCGATAAGTCGTCTCATAGCGAGACGTAACGCTCGTTTTTGCTGCGGGGAAGGGGGGGAGAGAGAGAGCAGGTGAGGCCAGCTGGCCCTATGTGCTGTGCTCTCCAGCACCAGGGCCCTGCACTGGTACCCCGATAAGGAACCAGGGATACAGGGAAAGGGATACAGCAGCTTCTCCAAGCTGTGCGCATGCCATAAGCCTCCCCTTAGGCCAGTGCTGAGCCCCAGCTCCCAGAGCTGAGCAAGGCCTCATGGTCCGGCTGGTCCATCCCTATAGGCAGGATGGTTCACTGGTCCGTGTTCCCTAGGGTTTGCCCAGTCTGATGTGTCACAAGTGATGAGGCTCCCCTCCCTGGGAAGATAACTTCAGCGTGACCTACCTAATGGGCAGGGAGCTTCCTTCCCTTTGTTTCCTCTGATTCTCGTTACCCTCCCATGTGCTCCCCTCCCACCTCATGGTGTGCGCCCCCAGACACTCGGAAACATTGTGCTCCCAGCTACCCTCAGCTCTCGGAACCTTCCCTCCTCAGTGGCTCCCCCCAGACCCGGGTGTTTGGGCTGGGAAGGACACTTCCTCGCTCCAACGCTGCAGGTTGGGGTGCAGCCCACAGGGCAGAGGCGGGAAGCAGTCAGTGCCTCCTGATCGTCACCCTCCATGCCTATGTCTCACCAGCCAGCCCCTCTCTAGCCCAATGCCTAACTGCACTGGGGTCACAAGAGGCTCATGCTTGGAGGAGAGTTGCTCCAGCCTTTCACGGCTTGGAACAATGTGAGGAACTTGTATCATGACTCGCCACCATGACTAATCTGTGGGGGACAGTCCCAGCCCCAGCCCCAGCCCCAGCGCAGTCTTAGCTCCTGCAGCTGGAGGGGAGAAATGAGGACTCGGCTTGCCTACTTGAGATGGTACCTGCAGCGCCATGGGGGTGTGGGTCCTGGTGGACAGGGCTGCTGGCCTCCACTGCAGCAGCAGAAAGCCATCTGTAGGGGGCAGCGAGTGCAGCAACAGCCATGGGGCAAGAACAGGGACAGTGGGGAGAGTCACGAGATTAAAGAAAACAAAAGGGGTTACAGCTAAAGCACAAGCCCCCCAGCAGCCAGAGGTTCTTACAGTTTAACAGGCTCTCCTCCTCCTTTGTGTCTGTGAAAGGGAGCCTTCTCTGTTGAGCTCCTGGCAGAGCCCCCTTGGCAAAAACCACTGAGACAGGTACAGTCAGCTGGAACTGAGCAAAGAGCCGCATTACCTGGCAGCGTAAGCCACGTCCCCTGCCACCATCCCAGCCTCCGTCAACCCCCCAGCACCTCCTCACAGCCCTTCTGCGAGCCCCAGAACCACCCACAGCCCTTGGGGCCCCCGAGAACTTTAACAGTATCTGAACCCTGTGAAGGGAGACCCATGAATTGCTGCTGCCACCAGCTGGAAACTCCTGTGCCTGCATCAAGAGTCTGTGCCAAAAAGGGCTGACAGGTGTGGGACAGTCAGCCCTTCCCAATGGGGAATGGGGCCCCCCGGCTCTTCCCCAGCCCCGGGCCCGGCTCTTCCCCAGCCCCGGGCCCTGACCCGCGGGCCAGCCCTGAGGCCGGAGGCGGAGCAGGCTGCAGCCGGCCCAGGCTGGAGCGAGGGGCTCCGGGCTCCACCAGGTCACGCCTCGGGCCCCTCCCCGCGGGGCGCAGCCCTACCCGGAGCGAGCCCAGCGCGCTGATCCCCGCGTAGGGCAGCGAGGCCCGGTACGTCTCCGTCGTCTTCCACCAGAGCGGCAGCCCCAGCACCAGGGCCACGGCGGCGAAGGCGAGAGCAGCGCGCTTCCCCCGCGCCTCCTCTGCGGGGCACAGGCGGGCAATGGCGCGGGGGGGCCGGGAGCTCACTGCCCGGCCCCCCTCACCGCCCCCCCCCGGCTCCTCCCAGCCCGCCCGCCCCCCCCCCCGGCTCCCGGGCCCCCCCCGGCTCCTCACCGCCCGCCTCCCCCCCCCCCAGCTCCTCACCACCCGCCTCCCCCCCATGCTCCCGGTTCCCCCCCCCCGGCTCCTCACAGCCCCCCTCACCGCCCCCCCCCGGCTCCTCCCAGCCCGCCCGCCTCCCCCCCCGGCTCCCGGCCCCCCCCCGGCTCCTCACCGCCCGCCTCCCCCCCCATGCTCCCGGTTCCCCCCCCCCGGCTCCTCACAGCCCCCTCACCCCCCCCCCGGCTCCCCCTCACCGCCCGCTTCCCGGTCCCCCCCCCGGCTCCTCCCAGCCCGCCCCCCGGCTCCCCCCCCGGCTCCTCACCGCCCGCCTCCCCCCCCATGCTCCCGGTTCCCCCCCCCCCGGCTCCTCCCAGCCCGCTTCCCGCCCCCCCCCCCCGGCTCCCGGCCCCCCCCGGCTCCTCCCACCGCCCGCCCCCCCCCCGGCTCCCGGGCCCCCCCCCGGCTCCTCACCGCCCGCCTCCCCCCCATGCTCCGGTTCCCCCCCGGCTCCTCACCGCCCGCCCCGGCTCCCGCTTCCCCCCCCCGGCTCCCAATCCCACCGCCCGGCTCCGAACCGCTCCCGGTCCCACCCCCGGACCCCGCACCTGCCCCGTCAGCCACCATCCTCCCGTCCGACCGCTCTTCCCGGACCTCACGGGGCGGGGCTAGAAGCCGGGAAACCAGCCGGCGGCCAATTGGCGCAGGCCAAGGACCGGAAGACGGCGTAGACCGACAGCAGCGCTGACCAATCAGAGCTGACTAAGCGCGCCGGGGTGGGTCGCGAAGGCACCAATCTGGTACGGGTCCCTCGGAGGGACAGCGCAGGGGGGTGCCCCGTCCCGCGAAGGGGCCCGGCCGAGAGGGAGGTGGGCGGGTCCAGGGCTGCGCACAGAGCAACTGCACCGGGCCAGCGGCGGCCAGCGAGCCCTGCACCCCTCCCCCTCGGCACTGCACCCCTCCCCCTCACTGCACCCACACCCCGGCCTCCCCCTCACTGCACCCCTCCCCCTCGGCACTGCACCCCTCCCCCTCACTGCACCCACACCCCGGCCTCCCCCTCACTGCACCCCTCCCCCTCACCGCACCCACACCCCGGCCTCCCCCTCACTGCACCCCTCCCCCTCGGCACTGCACCCCTCCCCCTCACTGCACCCACACCCCGGCCTCCCCCTCACTGCACCCCTCCCCCTCACCGCACCCACACCCCGGCCTCCCCCTCACTGCACCCCTCCCCCTCGGCACTGCACCCCTCCCCTCACTGCACCCACACCCCGGCCTCCCCCCTCACTGCACCCCTCCCCCTCGGCACTGCACCCCTCCCCCTCGGCACTGCACCCCTCCCCCTCACTGCACCCACACCCCGGCCTCCCCCTCACTGCACCCCTCCCCCTCACCGCACCCACACCCCGGCCTCCCCCTCACTGCACCCCTCCCCCTCACTGCACCCACACCCCGGCCTCCCCCTCACTGCACCCCTCCCCCTCACCGCACCCACACCCCGGCCTCCCCCTCACTGCACCCCTCCCCCTCACTGCACCCACACCCCGGCCTCCCCCTCACTGCACCCCTCCCCCTCGGCACTGCACCCCTCCCCCTCGGCACTGCACCCACACCCCTCCCCCTCACCGCACCCACACCCCGGCCTCCCCCTCACTGCACCCCTCCCCCCTCACCGCACCCACACCCCGGCCTCCCCCTCACTGCACCCCTCCCCTCGGCACTGCACCCCTCCCCCTCACTGCACCCACACCCCGGCCTCCCCCCTCACTGCACCCCTCCCCCTCACCGCACCCACACCCCGGCCTCCCCCTCACTGCACCCCTCCCCCTCACTGCACCCACACCCCGGCCTCCCCCTCACTGCACCCCTCCCCCTCACCGCACCCACACCCCGGCCTCCCCCTCACTGCACCCCTCCCCCTCACTGCACCCACACCCCGGCCTCCCCCTCACTGCACCCCTCCCCTCGGCACTGCACCCCTCCCCCTCGGCACTGCACCCACACCCCTCCCCCTCACCGCACCCACACCCCGGCCTCCCCCCTCACTGCACCCCTCCCCTCACCGCACCCACACCCCGGCCTCCCCCTCACTGCACCCCTCCCCCTCGGCACTGCACCCCTCCCCCTCACTGCACCCACACCCCGGCCTCCCCCTCACTGCACCCCTCCCCCTCGGCACTGCACCCCTCCCCCTCACTGCACCCCTCCCCCTCACCGCACCCACACCCCGGCCTCCCCCTCTCTGCACCCCTCCCCCTCACCGCACCCACACCCCGGCCTCCCCCTCACCGCACCCACACCCCCGGCCTCCCCCTCACTGCACCCCTCCCCCTCACCGCACCCACACCCCGGCCTCCCCCTCACTGCACCCCCTCCCCCTCACTGCACCCCTCCCCCTCGGCACTGCACCCACACCCCGGCCTCCCCCTCACTGCACCCCTCCCCCTCGGCACTGCACCCACACCCCGGCCTCCCCCTCACTGCACCCCTCCCCCTCGGCACTGCACCCACACCCCGGCCTCCCCCTCACTGCACCCCTCCCCCTCACCGCACCCACACCCCGGCCTCCCCCTCACTGCACCCCTCCCCCTCCGCACTGCACCCCTCCCCCTCACTGCACCCACACCCCGGCCTCCCCTCACTGCACCCCTCCCCCTCACCGCACCCACACCCCGGCCTCCCCCTCACTGCACCCCTCCCCCTCGGCACTGCACCCCTCCCCCTCACTGCACCCACACCCCGGCCTCCCCCTCACTGCACCCCTCCCCCTCGGCACTGCACCCACACCCCTCCCCTCACCGCACCCACACCCCGGCCTCCCCCTCACTGCACCCCTCCCCCTCACCGCACCCACACCCCGGCCTCCCCCTCACTGCACCCCCCCCCCTCACTGCACCCCTCCCCCTCGGCACTGCACCCACACCCCGGCCTCCCCCTCACTGCACCCCTCCCCCTCACCGCACCCACACCCCGGCCTCCCCCTCACTGCACCCCTCCTCCGCACTGCACCCCTCCCCCTCACCGCACCCACACCCCGGCCTCCCCCTCACTGCACCCCTCCCCCTCGGCACTGCACCCCTCCCCTCACTGCACCCACACCCCCGGCCTCCCCCTCACTGCACCCCTCCCCCTCGGCACTGCACCCCTCCCCCTCGGCACTGCACCCACACCCCGGCCTCCCCCTCACTGCACCCCTCCCCCTCACCGCACCCACACCCCGGCCTCCCCCTCACTGCACCCCTCCCCCTCCGCACTGCACCCCTCCCCCTCACCGCACCCACACCCCGGCCTCCCCCTCACTGCACCCCTCCCCCTCACCGCACCCACACCCCGGCCTCCCCCTCACTGCACCCCTCCCCCGCACTGCACCCCTCCCCCTCGGCACTGCACCCCTCCCCCTCACCGCACCCACACCCCGGCCTCCCCCTCACTGCACCCCCTCCCCCTCACCGCACCCACACCCCCGGCCTCCCCCTCACTGCACTCATACCCCAGCCTCCTCGGTACTGCACCCCTCCCCCGCACTGCACCCACATCCCGGCCCTGGACACTGCACCCACACCCCAGCCTCCTCAGCACTGCACCCCTCCCCCGGTACTGCACCCACACCCCGGCCTCCTCAGCACTGCACCCCTCCCCCGGCCCCGCACCCACACCCCGGCCTCCTCGGCACGGCGCCCCTCCCCCACTGCACCCACACCCCGGCCTCCTCGGCACGGCGCCCCTCCCCCGGCACTGCACCCACACCCCGGCCTCCTCGGCACGGCATCCCTCCCCCCATCACTGCACCCACACCCCAGCCTCCCTGGCACTGCACCCCTCCCCCGGCACTGCACCCACATCCCGGCCTCCTCGGCACTGCACCCCTCCCCCGGCCATTGTACCCACTCCCCGGACCTGGGCACTGTGCCCCTCTGCCTCCACTGCACCCATACCCCAGCCTCCTCAGCACTCCACCCCTCCCCCAGCACTCCACCCACACCCCACCCTCCCCAGCATTGGGCATTGTGCCCCTCCCCCAACACTGCGCCCACACCCCGCCCTCCCCAGCCCTGGGTACTGTGCCCCTCCCCTGACATTGCACCCCCACCCCGGCCTCCTCGGTACTGCGCCCCTCCCCCGTCACTGCACCCACACCCCACTCTCCCTGGCATTGGGCACTGTGCCCACACCCTGCCCTCCCCAGTACTGGGCACTGTGCCCCTCCCCCGGCACTGCACCCACACCCTCACTGCACCCCTTCCCTGGGCACTGCACACACACCCCGTCCCCGGGCACTGCAGCTCTCTCTCCTCCTGGCCAGTGTCCCCTATCCCCCCACCAGCATCGGGCACTGCACCCCTCCCCCAACACTCCTAATTAACTCAGAATCCAGCACCAGTGCCTTAGTGACTGAACCCTGAGCAGAGCCTGGGGCTGGCCCCACTCTTCTCTCGCTAACTGCCACTCAGACCTTGTAGGAAGGAGGCATTTGACCTTTCTGCCTCCATTTCCCCAGCTGTAAATCACAGCTACCACAGCTGCAGGCTGGCGAAATTGGCAAGAGCCCTGTGACACCAGAGGATTAACACTAGTTCCCTTGGTGGTAGAATGGCAGAGATCAGGAAGATCCAGCCCCTTAAGGAGCAGCCAGGTCAAGAGGTGCGGATGGCTGGCCAAGGAAAGCACCAAGAGAACTCAAGAAGAGTGGACTGGAGCACATTACAGCTCTACCACTAAGGACAGGCAGACCTTGCAGTAGGAATGGGGATGGAGCACGTGCCACCGAAACAGCTTAAGGGGAATCTCAGCTGCACCAGAAAAAGCTGAACACCCCAGTCCTGTTTTACTACAGTTCCGGAGTAGGCCCCACTCCACCCCTACAGGAGGGCAGCAGCTGCCTTCCTTGCACAGGGACGGAAGAGTTCTACTGAACTGAGCATGCAGCAAGAGACTGGTAGAGCTAGCCCTGGGCAATTGATGGAGGAGCTTCACCCACCACTGAAGCAGCGCCACCTCTGGGGTGGAACTTGGCAGCTGTTTTAGCAGCACAAGACAGTTCAGCAGAGGAAGGGAGGAAAGCACCAGTGTCCAGCTGAAGCCGTAGGGGGATGTGGAGAGGAAGTTTGTAATGGACAACAGAGACCCGGAGCTTTGGGAGAGGAAGGGCGGGATTTGGAAGAAGTCTCCATGTGGGTTTGTTGCTCCAGAGTGCGTGGCTGGAAGCAGCTACTTTGACTTCTTCACCCCAACTCAGAATACCCATGTTGAACAGACCGCCGCCCCCTGGAGAGAAAGCAGCTAGCCCCCATCCCCACCACCAGATGGAAGTAGCAGTCGCTTGTCACTTTCTCTAGGATTTATTTGTTAGACTATTCGGTACATCAGGTGCATATGGAGAACACAACACACAGCAGGAACTGGCTCCCCTACCATCGGCTGCTCCCGCCTGACTCGGCCAGACACAGCGGTGGTGGCACTATGGGGGGGGAGCACACAATCAGAACTGCAAAGCTACAGCTGCACACCAAAGTGCAGTCTAATGCAGCGTGGGTCCCACGCGGCCAGGGTGCGTGGAGCACCAACAAAACGGAACGTTTCCTGCGCACAAGCACCCCTCGGGAACGGGGCCTTCTGCCACAGAGCCAGGCCTGGGCCCAAGGGACATCGCCCCTCCCCACCCCTGCCAGCCTAGCTCCCCTCCCACCTCCAAACAATACCCTTTAAG